TCCTTTTGGGAAATTTTGGTTGATGGTTAAGGCGGAGCGAGGTTTAGGATTACTTTTTTGATGCAGTTATGGTAAGCAGATTATATAGATATCAAGAATAAAACTTATGCAGTATGTAGATCATATATTTAATAAACAGATACACCGTATAAATGTAAATAGTAAAGAAGATTACACTATATAAACAAGTTAGGCAAAGAAGACATAATAAAATAAAAATACTGCATGCATATTTTTTCTACATTGCAGAAACGTGTTATGTAATATGAAGCACATATCGACTCTGACAGATAATCAAAATCTGCTTGTATGATTGAGTGCATTTAAAGCAGGTTTTGATATGCGGCCAGAAGAGATAAATAGTTTTTAACACATTCTAAAAATGGTTTTTCAGCATGTTATTTTAATAATCTTTCTTATTATTCTTATGATTTAGGCACATTCTCTTGACAGAAATGTTCTCAGTGAAAAAGGAGTGATGACTATTTATACTAAAGGTCTAGAAGTTTTTTTCTATATTAATTTTTTTTTTTATCAAAATATATATCGAAACTTTTGTTTGCTTCTATAACAAGTCGTCGCAAGCTTTAGGAAAAAGATTTGAAGAGTTTTGTGAAAGATTTTTAGCTAAGTGTTTTAGAAAATTTAATATAATAGTAGATCGAGTCAGGTGAGTATTTCTCGTTGAATATGATGAGTCGTTATGTGTCTGAAGTTACGCTATCGACTTGAAATATATCTGAGAATTGAAAACTTGCCGTGGCCAACTGTTTAAACAATTAAACATTCTTCTTGGTTTTCAAGGATCCTGTCCGTAAACTTCCACTCGGGATCAATCGATGAATAAGATATATGCTGGCCCCAGCTATATATGATTATGAATCATATTCAATTTTTATCTATTATTTTAGAAGAAGTCGAGATAGCAAGAGAGATATTATTATTGAATTATATAGATTTGGAGGAGTTATGCAGTGTAAAGCATATTTCAATCAAAAAATAGGTATTTTTAATTCTTTTTTTATTTATTTATTTATTTATCGTTAACAATTGAATTATTCTTTAGAGAAAAAGCATGTTGATGAATTAAGAACTGTTATTAGAGATAGTAATTTTTATTTTGAAGTTATGGTTGGTGCTTGTCAAGAAAGGATAGGTGTAAGTGCATATGAGTCAGCAAGTAGGGAGAGAGAAAGAAAAGTGAAGGTATGTATATATAGAGAGTTGGAAAGGGTGATTTTGGAGATAGTGACAGATTTGTTAACTATAGAAGTATATGGGATGCGAGTTGTAAATAGAAAATCATATTTTGTTTATTTTTTTATTTTTTTTATTTTGTCTTTTCTTGTTTCATTTTTAGTCATATATTTCTTTTTGTTGGAAAGTAAAATATATAATAAAAAGAAATAAATTAAGTATCTTCTCCAATCTAAACATTTTTTTTATAATTGAGTCATCTAAATTAATTTACACAGGTTGATAAATTGAGATTCTTTAGTCTTATTAAGGTTCCACTAATAATATTTGGCTAATTGTCTTAATTTTAGCAGAATTTCACTTAATATGTCTGTTTCTTCTATTATTATATTGACGATTAGAATTGGATATCCTTCGGTTAGATCTTTGATTATGTGTTGGAATATTAGTTCTGGGGTGTTAGAGCTGTTAGTCTGAGGGTGTCTGAATCGTTAGTTCTGAAAGCGGTGGCGTCATTAGTATTGCACATTTTACATTTCTAAATACAAAAATAATAGTAAAAATTTGTAATCAGATAAAAAAAAAGGGTATTGCTAATTTTCAACCGTGATGTCACCTGGTTGTATAAAGACTAATTGGATTGTCGGAAAAAAACTCAAAAAACCTAACTCGAAACTGTATTATGAAAACTATGCTTTGACTTCTAAGCAAAAGTTTTCAGTGTCAAATTTTACATATACAGTTGATACTGTCTAAATGCATACTGCATACTGTATAAATGCATAATTTTTTAAAAAAATTTAATAGTAATATGCATTTAGACAGTAAATTTTCTAGTATTTGATTGGTTAATACTGTTTAAATGCATAAAATTGATTTTTTTTTTGTCTACCGATGGTATGCATTTAGACAGTATCAACTGTATATTGAGGCCCTCTTATTTTTAACTTAAGTTAACCCTAACCCTAACTTTAAATTTATTTAATTTTTAACCATTTTATAATACTGTAATACCGGGTATCATCACGGGTGAGTAATTATTCTATCAGTATTGATGTTACACAAGATCTATATAGAAATTGTCTGGCGATACAGTAAAAAAAAAAAAAAAAAAAATACATTGAACTTCTACCAAGTTCTGATTCTTGTATTATTAGATTTTGATCGATAGTGCATTTTTATAGAAAAATTTGACTTGATAAAGCCACCTGCGGGTTACCCGAGGAGCCTCTAAGTCTATAAATAGACGTATCATTTGTTGTCTTTACCTTTTGCCGTATCACGTAATAACAGTTTTTCTTTCAGGTTGTGAGATATCAGTATGATCATACTAGCATACGGTGAGTTTTTTAAAGCTTATTTATAGAACTAAATATATGTTATAACAATGATGAAAAAATTGTTCCTTTGGCTGGCTGATAAAAATGAAGAAAACCAAAAAAGATCGCTAGAACAACTGAGAAAAACGCAATGTTCAGAATTTTTCGATTTTATAAGTTTATCTTGCTGACATATAATTCTTATCCAATTCACTGTAAATATGTCAAAGTTTATAGCAATGCTGAAAAAAGAAACAAACCGGGATCAATTTATTTTTTATTTGATTGATTTCTTGGTCCTTTCATCTGTTTTCACATATCCATGCTTTGCGACTGGAAAGATTCCGACTCTTCCTCATCATCAGTATTCGGCCTCATTCGTTTTGCTTTATTTGATTTACCTTGTGGCTGCGATTTTTTATCTTTTCCAACCTTCCATAGCTCGTTTGGTTTCAATGAAGTAATTGGTTCAAAAGAAACAACGGCTTTATGGGTGTTTCGACGTGTTGCTGTAAGATCAAAACATCAATTTAATGGAAATAATATATTATCATGCACAATTATTAAACTTTGCCACTCACCAGCATGTATGACTACAGCTCTACAATTTGTTGTTATGCATTCTTTGGCTATGGCTTGATTCATACCCATGATTGTACCTCTGAAAATCCAAATAATTAGAAACGTTGAAACAATTATTTATTATGCTTTTACTTACAAATTAACAATATCATAAGGACCACGCAATTCCATTGCTCTTTGCGCTTCACTTGTAATAATAATATTTTTTCCACGTGATACTCTCACTAGGTTTTGCGCATTTGATATAAGATTACGGCGAGATGTAGAATCTAATGATTAATTCGAAACTGATTTAACTCTACCCATTGAAAACATTTGAGTAATATAATGCAACAGTAAAGCCTACTACCTCTTATAGCAGGGGCGTAGGAGATTTCAAAGAATATACCACGTTCAATAGCTAATCCCACTATACTATGCTTTAAATAAAATGGCAATCGTGATCCCATTTCAAGTGATATAATATCTATTTCAAGTGTACTACAGGCATTTAGAAATGCTTTTTCGTTCGTTGGATGAACTGCAAGAATGTCATATGATGCAAGTGTACTATTTGATGAGGTCTTTTTTTGTTTAAAAAAAAAAACAAATTGATTTTAGGTATTAGTTATTGAAAGAAGATAAGGACCACAAAAATGAAACAATATCACAAACCAATCCATGATTTTGGCTTTTATCTTCAACAACGTATGTTAAACGTGTTAATTGTTCGATCTTTGATTTTTTATCGGAAATATCGGCAAGGTTCATCTTTCGCGTTGAATGTCTTTTAATATGAATTATATTTACAAAAAAAAAAAAAAAAAAAATTAAGCACATAATATCACTCACTTTGTTAGGAGATATTTTTCCGGTGACAACGTGATTATATGCTACAACATGGTAACCAACTGCAAGTTTGTAAAGCACTTCATTATTCGAGCGTCATTAATAGTCTACAGAAAATCTTGTTAATAAGAACTATAATTTCAAATTACGCTTTATAAGCATGTCTGTTCTTGCACGAAGTTCATTTTGATTGACTAAGTCAAGTCGAGGAAGATAAGGAAGATTCAGATCATAAAACATCTGTTGGTAATGCTTATATTGACCACGATGATAAAATTATAAAATGCTAGATAAAGATACCACACGCGTGCAGGGACGATGATATATTGTGATTCACAAAATATCACAAAAGTCACAAAATTTTGGGATAATCACAAATTTGGTCCGCCACAAAATTTCATTTTGTGGATTAGAATTTGATAATAATGAAGAGGAATTGGAATAATCTAGCAACTCGTTTACCTATTCTTTCTCAAATTGCACTCAATTATATTTGGTTACCCGTGTCAAGCTGTGCTGTTGAGCGTAGCGTTTCTTATATAGTACCCTTTTAGATAATGATCGTCAAAATTTATCTAAAGAATCACTCGAACAATTATCCATGTCATCGCAAATATCGTTTCAAATTGATCACCGCAAAATTTACTTTATCCCGCCACAAAATTTATGTAATCCCGCCACAAAATCATCGTCCTGCACACGTGTGACGCCATAATTAGAAGGCACATGAAATCTAACGCTAACCTTTTTTTTATAAACAGGGAAATGCAAAGACTTTTGACTTGAACAATTTTTCACAGATGGAAGATAGTTATTTCGCCTTTGCTTGGAAAATAAACTGTTTCAATGAGCTTGTTTCTAGGCATCCCAATGGATCCTTTTTCTATAGCGAAAGGTTTTGGTCACCACGAGGGCAGACTGGGAAAATAGTTAATATTAATGTTGCTCAAAGTCGTACTCCTAACCTCAACAACGATAACAACACTGATTACTTATGGCGCCTGAAAATGTTCCCAAACGGTGTTGATAAAAAGTCGAATGACTTTATATCTCTCTACCTTGAAGGTATCTTAGATTTTTAATTCTCAAATTTTGAGAGTTTTTTTCGTTGATTTTCGATAATTGGCGCCGACAAAGTAAGTAAATAAATGTTCACCCGTTAAAGCTATTCAAACACAATATGAAAAGCAAAACGGTATAATTGGCAGGCACAAAAAGTTCAGATTAGCTTTATACCGATTGAACCAAGGCCAATTGAATACAATGCAAACACCTATTCTCATTATCGATCGTCACATTTTGGAAACAAAATTTGAATTTAACGGAGTTAACGCAGATTATGGCTTCGCTCGAATTATTGGCATTAAAGACTTGTATCCTAATGATACAATAATGCCTGAAATGGACTTGATGGTACGAGTTCAAATTTTTGACGACCACCTATCCCCCGGTGAAGGAAATAGCACAAGTTTCATTCCAGAGTGTATTTCCATGTCAGGTTTCGAAAAATTCTTCGATAAAGATCGTTTTTGTGATGTAGAATTTGTATTTGACTGTGGATCAAGTGTTAAAGCACATCGGATTATTCTTGCGGCAAGGTCAAATTATTTTGAACGTTTGTTAGGTGAAGAATGGCTCGAAGGACATATGAAAACTATTACCATGCAAGAATTCCCATATCACGCATTTCGGTCTATTGTTCATTACCTTTACTCCGGAAAACTCGAAGAGAGATTAAGCTTTGATCTAATAAAAGAGATCTATACTAAAGCTGATATGCTGAATCTTGATCAACTCAATTCGATGACAGTCGATCGAATGATTGAACTAATAGATTATAACAATTGGCATGAAATTTTATTGTTGGGTTGGAATAAACTTGATGAACGACTAAAAACTGCTGGGTTAAATTTTGCAATAACAAATTGGATGAACTTGAGAAATAGTGATAGTATGAAAGAGGTTATGAGGTTCGGAGATATGGATTTAACTGAAGAATTAATTCTTGGAAAATTCTTTGCAACTAATAATAGGGGTACGTAAATATTGAATGTCAAATTCACGCCATATTGTCTCAACTCATATTTACTAACCTGCCTTATTCACTATCGAATGCAACAAAGATACAATTGTTCACATGTCATAATGAATGTGTACAGACTTTTGGATTACAAAATATTACAAAAGGGAATTATTATATCAATTATTCACAAATAGCTATAGTTACCGGTTGTCTTAATTTTATGAAATTTTAATTTCCTTACGTTTTTAAGAATATTGAGAGTATTAGTAAAAAATTACTTTTAGTTGGTCATAAAAGATTTTGACATTTCCAAAAGTTTTTTTGGTATAGTGTGAACCTAAATTGTAAAATACATAGTATAATATAGATTTGAACCTAAATTAGGTTCTTTATTTAAAATATAACTCATGTATAATAAATAATGTATTACAGCAATCTAATTAATATTCTTTAAATGTAGATTTTTGCAGGCAAATTTACCCGCAAAAAACTATTCAATGGCCACATTTTAAAATAATATGTATGTAATACCTAACCAAATAATGAGGTAGAATGTGAATCCTAGAGATTAGTGTCTGTAGTCGACACAAATTTATCGATCCGACAAAGTTGATACTTTTTTCCGATATTGTCTACATAAAGTCGATCTTTTAAAAAATCGGCCTAGTTGACTAAGTTGATTTTATTGACTAAACCAAACCGACTACAATCACTATTAAAGCTGTATCTCGCGCGAGGCAAAACTAGTATACATTTCACAAATCATGACTTCGCGCGAAGTGAAGTAATCTTATCTAAGACCATTCAGCGGATTATAGATTTTGATGACAGCTTTAATCTTTTTTATGTTAATAAATTACTAATCGCTAGGACTTTATTAAAAATTTACTTCGTATGAGAGATGAGGTTATATTATGTGATTTGTGCGAAGATGATATCATCTTTCGCGAGGTACATCTAGTGATTCCATCGCAATTGTTTGAATTTATCACAAGAATAAATCCGAATAATAATTTGATCTACTGGTCAAAGGCATATCGGTGCACTTTGTGTATCCTATTTTTACTATCTCCGGTTATGATTGGGTTTAGGGTTAATAAAGGGATAGATTTTTTGCAAGGAATATCTTCCTATTAGGTGGTTTCTTAAGAGAAATTTCAAAGT